AAGGTTAGGGTACATTTTTTTCCCCCTTTTATCTGATTCTATCTGACTCTTTACATTCACCCTTCCCTCTCTCTCTCACTCATTCTAAAACTTAATAACTCGCTCTCTTTCTCGCTATCGCTCTCTCTCTCTCTCACTCTCACTCTCACTTTCTCACTCTATCTCCATGTATATGTGTGTGTGTGTGTTTGCATATATGTATTTCTTCTTTCTTATATATTTACAATTTACCAGACTTATACAGTTTTGCTAATAGCGTTTGTTTCATTTCTCATCACATATGTGCGGCGGTCATTATTTTCCTACTTTGCATTCCTTACCCTCACATCAGTGTTTGCGCTCTTTATTTATTCATTTGTTTTGTGTCTTTTAGTTACGTTTTAGCTAATTGTTTTGTGGCTATTAGATGTGTTTTAGCTAAATCCACTTAACAGAACATTGGCGCCAAGACAGGTGTGACGTTGATTCAGTGACCACAGCCAAAAGCCAGTTACTCAATAATGGTTGCCTCTCCCGCAACAATGGCGCTGCTGTCGCGTATTATGACAGCTCAAGGGTCTATTCTATCCGGGGATCCTTTTACAGAGCGAGATACTTCGCCAGCTGTGAAAGGATCCGAGATGAAAATCCTTGCCTAGAGCGGCAACGCTGTGTTGGTCTCTCGTCCCAACTAGAGAGGGAAAGATGATGTTGTATATTTACTAGGGAGCTTATTACTTGTTTATCTAAACGGTGATTATTATGTAATATTAGGTATAATTTTACTGTGAAAATGATAAATATTTATTACATCCTAGTAGACAAAGTGAGAACCAGAGAACTAGAGTGATAGTGTCGTGACCCATACCTAGCCAGCCGGGGTGATAACCATTAGAATATAGATACGCAAGCTATTTTTTTTTTTTTTTTGGGGGGGGGGGAGACCTGTCACGCCATCTAGGGAGCGGGAATTAGTTCGTTCCCGGGGCTAGTTACTAGCCCACTAATTAAATCCTTAAGGATAAGGATAAGTCCGATATGCGAAGCTGAGCCTCGTCCGGGTTATGGGGGGAGCGCGGCCTGTGCCGACTAATGTCGACTCGCAAACAGTATGTCAGCTGGTGCTGACTCGGATGAGCTTAGTCCTTACTCACCGTGGTGCCCAGCCACAGCAGTGACCTCCAGGCAACAATTGCAACTTCTCGCACCTGGGCGGGGCGCGAACCGCCGACCCCTTGGATGAGAGGCCGATACGTTACCACTGTACTAGCCCGGAGGCTTTAAATCCTTGCTGGGGGACTGCTATATATAGCCCGGGAAACGAGCGGAAAGACGCAGGGGGTATAGGCTGTCAGTCCACGTCCTTAGCGGCCGATGGAAGTTAGTGACGTTGGTTTTGTTTTTCGTGTTTCCCTTGCGGTCGTAAGGACGAGATTTCAGTGGCAGTAAGGTGGGAATTTTATGCTTTTCCTTTTTTATAGTATATAACAGAGTGCTCCTTTTGTGTGTTTTTTTTTGTGTTTTAGGTTCTGGTTTTATTGTTCGTTCTTTTTTTAGTGTACTGTATTCTGGTGTCCTTTTCGTGTTTTATAAGTGTTCAGTGCTTTACTGTTTTAATAAATGTATTTTTAAGCTCCGTGAGTGAAATTCCTCTTTTACTTTAACCCTTTTTAAGAGAAATGGCTGCCTGTTGACAAATGATAACCTTCCATCAGCCCTTAAGGCCGACACGCACTCCCCTCGGGATTAACCACGCTTACCAGACAAACCCTTGTGGATTAGGTCATTCTTCCATTTCTCACACATGCATACTTTCCTTTTTATCAAATTACACCCTTCTAGACGTCTTCTCCTTTCAGTACACGTATTGCTCCTGGACGTACTAAACAGGTGGTGGCAACGCTAAGTGACTTAACTAGCAAGAGTAATTCACTTCAATAGTATCTAAATTTCCTTAATTTACTATTCGTTATAAAGGTAACTTGTAAACTTGATAAATACTCGTAATCTGTATTTCCAGCATACAGCATGATCATATATTGGAAAACAATCCTTACACAAAGTTAAAGAATTTTATACCTCATTATATCACCAATCAGGCTACACTAGTTGATTCCAGTCTTGTTTAACAATATCAGAAGCCTTTTCTGCAATCATAATAACAGGTGCGTTGGTATTCCCAGAGGTAACAGAGGGCATGACGGAAGCATCCACTACACGCAGTCCCTTTACTCCGCGAACTCTGCAAGAGGAAAGACAAATTCGTGAAAAAGGGCTGTGTACTTCCTTTTATTCCAACGAACCCTGCTAGAGGTAACTTCGTGAAATAATTTATGGTGTACCATTTATTCCAACAAACCTTGCTGGTAAATTCATTAAAATTACTTTGTACATGAGTTAGTACTGAAGTAGAATAAAATAGGTATGGAATGTTATGCCCACGGTAACGAAGGCTCTAATGGTGATAGAGCCTTCAGAATACAGGGCTGAAAAAAATAATATTAATTTAGTCTAGGATTTGTGCTTAAGTAATCTATCTTTCTATACATTGTATACTCCTTATTCATTAGCGTTAATTGCACATAAAACTTTCTTAAAAGAGAGAAATCCCCCCCCCCCGTTGTTGTCGTGGGGGGGCTTAGGAGGCGGAGACTGGGACCCAATGATGGGGAACTCCCCAACCTTGGGACTCAGCCCTCGACTCAACTAAATTTGCATGTTTTTTCTTCCACCCCTACTTTTTCGTTTCTGTCCCTTCACCAATCCCTTCTACTATACACTTCCTAAGGTGTGAGAGCCGTGCCGAAAGTCCTGAACGGCCTGAAGGAGCCATGGGCACAGTATTCCCCTGTATCCAGTATTCTCGGATCCTTTCCCCTGCTTTAGTTACCTTGCCCTTTCCCCTCAAGGGGACCCTGAGGGGTGCACTGTTTTTCTCCCCAACATACCCCATACTTACCATGGCTAATAATGAAGATGTAATTCCACTATTAGGGGCAATGAGGCTTGTGTACTAGCCCCAACAATTCAAACTCTCCCGATTCCCTGACCCCAGGCTCTCCTTTGACCACGGCTCCGAACACCAACAACTACCCCCTCCTCAATGTCTACTAGCTCAGTATCTACCTTAGTCAACACTCAACCCCCAGGAGACATTTCTACTCTCCCATCATGCTCAACTTCAACACCTCTACCTCCACAACCTTCTTCATCAACTACCCCATCCTCCCTTATTAATACTTTACAGCCTTATTGCCCACCTCTCCATAACACTACCTCGAGCGGAAAGACGCAGGGGGTATACCCTACTAGTACCCTTATCTCTACAAAAATCTTAAATACTCTATTTAGCCCAGCGAAATGGGACCGATTTTTTCGTGATCCCTCCCACAGTTCCCTACTCTGACAACACCTTTCTCTTCTAGTAATGTCTCCAAAAACAAGCAGGCAAAATCTCTTTTTGTAGCCGACCCGACCAAAATCTAACTGATCTATATGGTGATCCCATCCTTGCAGAACCCCATCCAACCTTCAATACTTGCACCGAAACTGTTTCTATCTCCTCAGCAAATTGCCCAATCTATAATAAAGATTGGTCAGATTGTGGAGAAGACTTACTCGGCTGTCTCATGGACTATGATGCGACATCAGTACAATGCTACTCCTTCTTCCCAGAAGTCATCGTAAGAAACCCACTACCATTGCCAAAATTACTTTGGCATAATCTTCCCTTTAATGTTTACATACGTGGAGAATCCCTCCCTGTCCGACCATACCAACCTCATCAATGCCAAAATTGTTGGCGTTTAGGACACTCAGCCAACCATTGCCGTTCCACAGCAGCATGCCCGCTATGTGCCCAACCTGGCCATACTCGATCAAACTGCTCTGCACAATCACGCACATGTGGCGTGATTGTGCAGCCCCCATAATGTATTTTATAGGGGCTGCCCCACCTACAAAGCTCCTACACCCTCTACTAAACCTACCCCTCCACCATCTAGCTTCCCCTCTTCTAACCCCCTACCTTTCCCCAGTCAAATTCTTTTGCCATCCTAAATCCAGACACTCCAATCTCTACTACAGCCCCAACAACTTCCCTCCCCGCACTACCTGCAACAGACAGAATAAACATTCCATCCCCTCTTCCCCTACCACACAATCACCTCCACCTTCCTTTGCCCCCACTCTTCAGACACCAGTCTTCTCTTCCTCCCCTCACAAGAAAACCTTTATCTCACAAAACTCCCAACTAACTTCATTACAGAAACTTTTGAAGATATTCAAAACTATATACTCAAGTCCCAAGCTGACACTCATCCACCTTCAAATTCTACAACTCCTGCTCCTTCCACACTCAAACTGACTGCCGATATCCACCCTCCTGCTACTCATATCCCCCTACACCCAATCCTCCTACCCCCTCCTAACTCAGCCCATCCCCCCCGACTCCGGCCCCGCCTACATTAACCCTCCCACCATCCCCTCTATCCCTTCCACTCCCTCCTGGATACACACGTGAATCCCTTATATCACAAGTATCCCCTTCCCCAGACCCTCCACCTCCAAATACCCCTCCTGATACAACACCACCTCCCCCACCTTCCCCCTCGCATTCCTTATCCCACCCTCTAGCTCCTTCCCCTTCAAATTCTCCAACACGTACTGCAGTCGTTATCACTAAATCAACGGAAGTATAACTATCCTTCATTGGAATATTCGCGGTTTCCGCTCCCACAGACCCGATCTTCGTCATATCCTTTCCTCTTATATGTCTTCAAGAGACTTTTCTTACACATCCTCCAATACCAATCCCCAATTACCATTTTGTCTCTTCCCCACACTCCCTTTATATTTCGTCCATACTTACCAACCAGGAAACACCTTATGTCATACCTCCCTTTCAATCCACTGTCCCTTGCACAGTTATTCGTATCTTTCTTCGCGCTGGATCACAGTGATTTCAGTCTATTTCTCCCCTTCCCACCCCATTGACTTTGTTGCTTTTGAAAATCTAATTTTCCAACTTCAACCACCTTTCCTCACAGGTGATTTTAACTGCCGCCATACTCTTTGGGGGTGATTCTATCACCAACTCCCGTGGCCGATCTCTAAAGCGCTTCCTCTCCACAGCTGAATTCTAAATACAGATCGCCCTACACACTTTGAAAAACGCACGCAATCTTTTTCATGCATTGACCTCTCTCTATGCTCCCCTTCTCTTCATTTTGATTTCCACTGGTCAGTTCTAGACCACTTTCCCTATAGTGACAACTTTCCAGTTCTTTCTCCTACTTCATATGTACCACTTCCTAACTCCCCACACTGGTGCTTTGATAGAGCCGACTGGCGTACTTTCACTTCACTCTCTGCTATTCATATCCCTCTATCCTCCCTCTCATCCATTTCAGAAATGATACAATGTTTTACAACTACAGTCCTAAGAGCTGCCCATACAGCTATTCCTTGAACCTCAAGACCCTAAACCTCCGAATGTGTTCCATGATGGAATTCTGATTGCACTAAAGTACTTCGCTTAAAACGTGCAGCCTGGAACAGTTACCGCTACAAACGAGGTACCCCAAATCAATTATCAGCCCTTATCTCCTTTAAAAGAGTATCTGCCTGTCTTCATTGTACAATCCGGAATAGTAAAACAAATAGCTGACGAAATTATGTTTTATCAATTACATCCTCTACATCTATCTCGAATGTTTGGCACCGAATTCATAAACTATCAGGCAAACATACCCCCATCCAGCCCTCGTCCTCAATATTCGAGATACCCTCATCTCTGATCTTCAAGTCGCTTATGAACTGGGTGATTATTTCAGGTTCTCACCTTTCTCCACACTTCTCTTCTATTAAGACCATCAGGGAATGTACCCCTATTATCTTCACCCTATCCTCCGCTCATTTCTATAATGCTCCTTTTTCTTCCTCTGAACTCGCCCGCTTACGCATTGGCCACACCCGTCTAACACACTCCTATCTGATGTCACAATCCGATCCACCCCTATGTTCCTTATGTAATGTTCCTCTTTCAGTCCCACACATTCTATTGTCATGACCACGTTTTCAAGCAGCCCGTACCTCTACTTTCCCGCACCTATCCTCCCTTTACCGACCTCCCAACCTATCAGACATCTTTACAAAATTTCACACTTTCTGCTTTGACAACCTGTTTTCCTTCCTCAAACGCATATATATCCTTCACTTAATCTACCCCCTTTACATTAGCTCACCCGACCTTAACCCATTCACTCACCAATTCCTTTGCCCAGCTTTGACAACTAATCACTAACTCAACCACCCTTCACTAACATTTACTATAGTGTTACATGACCTTAGACCTTAAGTGTCTTTCTATTTGTATGTATCTCTAGAAAGACTTACACATACGCACTCACATAAATACATGTGTTATACACAACAACAACAATATATTTTTGCATTTTATCCAAAATAACATCCTGAAACTTAAAGAGGGCTAACAAACTTTCCACTAATAATATTGTTTTACATTACCTTAGTCTGTTATCCACAACACCTAAAGGATCTGAGGACGGTGCCATCTTACAGGAGCCAGCAAAGTGTAGAAAGGACGAAGCCATGTGACGGACATAGCACGCCCAGTATTGATCACTCCCGTCTGGTAGGTTTTCACAACCACGTAAAGGCTGTTGGGTAGGGAAGTCTTATGAAAATAAAGTTAACATAGTTTTTTACCATAATTCATATTTAGATCTTAAATAATCATATCATATTATCATATTGTATTATCAGTTACCTTTTTAAAGAAACTAGCTCTGTAGGTTCTGGCAAAATCAGTTGTGTTGCCCAGTGCTAACGAAAACTTTATACCTAAGATGGAAAAAAAGGCAAAAACTTCAATTTCATTCCAGAAAAAAAAGCGAAAACGTATTACAATTATAATAACTGGAAAGGAATTGCAAAGAAGAGAGGCTGTTTACCATTAACAAGCGTGGCCACATCATCTGGGTGACTCAGGTAGTTGGGGTCAATGGCTGGAGGTCGTGTTGGGTCACTTGAGAGAAGAGTGACTGACCCTCGGCTCTTTGGTCTTACAAGCACTGGTCTGATAGTGAAACCCTCCCGACCAATTATCTCTTTGTAATGTTCTTTAAAGAACTGAAAAATTAAATGCATGTGCTTAATAGACTAATGTTAAGATGTGTGTATATGCAGCTTCCTTCTTATATGGTTTACAATTACTCATAATATTACTTTAGTGTTGTGTAAGCTGAAGTGCATATGTAAATTGTAATATTCATTTACTATCAACACACGACAGTGAAAAACATTTATGTCAAGGGACGATTTTTTTACTGCAAATAACCGCAATTTTTAATTTCCCGATTACATCATTATCAAGCTCATATTAAGGAAAACGAAGAAACAACATACGGCTCTGTCCATGCCCCAGAGTGATGGATAGAACAGACCAAAGTCTGTCCCTGCTGTGAATCCATTGAAGAAAATCTGCGTGTCTGTCCAGAGAGGGATCACCTCCCTGTGATACCTTCACCCAAGCGTTGAGAAGTTCAAGTGGTGTCTGAGTCAGTGGACCTGGAAAAAGTACTTTTACTCAAAATGCTTTTATGCACTGTCATATTTTAAAGTCGAATACTTAAATTTTCCGTGAAGTATATATATATATATTTGTACATGCTACTGAACAAACTTTTAAACACGTTACAACCAATCTTTATATCTACGAAGGTTGTTTCCATGTGACAAGCTTACCTTTCCTGGACCTAATGAATTCATGTAAAGATGAAGGCGAGAAGACGTCTGCGGTCGCAAGAAGACCAAGGGACTGAGGACTAGCTCCGAACGGGACTGTCCACGTGAGACCATAAACGTTTATGTGGTCGTGGAAGTTCTGCCCGACGCCCGGCACGTCCGCCACAACGTTTATCTGAGGAAACGAAACTTGACTTAGAGATTGGTATGGTCTTATTCTATATAGAATAACATACTGGAGTCTCTCCTTACTATCCAGGAATCCTTGTATACTGTATGCTGAACGTCCTGTATATCTCGATTCACAAAACCATTCAAAAGGGTTTACAGACTCAGACCCTTTGTATTCATTCAGAAGCCCATTATAAAACTTCATATATTCCCACCCGATGTTGCTGGAGATGGGTGCTGGGGCCCACACCGGAGAGCAGAAGTAATTTGGGCGATCCTATTGCACCTGAAGACACGATCACTTCTCGACGCGCGCCAATTGTCAGCATCTGAAAATATCATGCAGTTGAGGTTTCCTTGGTGGTTTTCTTTGGCAGGTGAGTATAGCATTGTCTTGTTTCGTCTCGTGTGATTTCATAAGAAAAGCATAAGCATAAGAAAACAAGAATATAGAGAAAGGCTGACAGACAGACAGGCAAAGAGACAGGCAGAGGCAGATAGAGAGGCAGAAAGTCAAATAAACAGATAGACAGGTAGAAAGATAAACTGAAGCACAGAGAGGCACACGCGCGCGCGTGTGTATGTGTGAGAGAGAGAGAAAGACTAACCTTTCCCCTGTACTGCAGGCGAACACCAACGGCCCTCTTGTCTTCATCAAAGATAATCTGAAGGTGACAGGAACCAAACATTAAAACAATTAACTCAAAGCCACAAGCAAATTCATGGTAATGACTTCAGCCGACGTCGCTCCTTACAAACTTACTTTATGGACGGTGGCGCTGTGTAGAACATGCAAATTAGGTCTGGAGGTGACAGGTCGCAGGTAACTCTCTGCTGATGATGCTCTCGTGCCATTGCCGACTGTGTACTGGTTGACTGCAAAACCTGAAGATCGGATGTATGATGACTTTGGTTGTAATTTTTCCAAGATTGATTTGATAAATGATTCAATCTTTCGTGTGTGATTTGTGCGGTAAGTAAGAAAGTGCTTTTCCTTTAAGTATGCATCAAGACAATTTCCTGGTTTGTTGATTCACAAACAAACCATGCTTGTCACCAATTAACTCAATTTATTCATTGACTCCCATCGGATTAACTCACCCATCTGCTCAGGACCGTTGTAATCGACCATGGAATAGCCCAGTTCCTGGCCACCCCTGACGAAGGCTTTAAAAATGGGTCCGGGAGAGTCTGGGGTCACTGCCAAGGGCCCGCTCCGTCCGCGATACCTGTCTGTAGCGGAAAAGACAATTAAAATATGTTCATGCAATTTAATACGTAGGTTAGCGAATGGAGGAAGGGAAATCTAGCTGTGGTTTGTCAGCGAGAGATGAAAAATCTTAGAAAGTATCAATGAGATATACAATATTTGCCTTATTTCTTCAGCTTGACTTTCTGTCTAGGAGAGCAGCGAGCCGGCAACCAACCTTCCTCCCAGATCCTCCCAGTACACAGCAAGATTTGTTGATAATTTTTCATTCAGTCAGAGTGATTTCTCTCTATTCCTTACCACGAACTTCTAGGACTATAGGTCCTTGCTCATAATATCCCCAGACTCTGTTTGCTCCCCTCAAGGCCTAGCCTGATCCCCCATGAGCCACAATGTTTACTTTTATACTAATTATACCTACATTGATTTGGTTATAACTTGAAAAATGCCCCTACAGTAGCTTATTTTTCTATTTTTTCGTTCACTTTCCTCGGTAACATTTGAAAAATCTAGGGTTTTGAAATGCATAATACTTTTAATTACTATTTAAAATTTCATGTTATGGCCACCAACTTGACGAATGCTGGCTAGTCTAGTAGTATGGATGCTACTAACGTTGCCGTTAACTGGCGTCCGTCTGCAGAGTGCAATCACTTCCTTGCCGTAATTGCTTCGGTTAACGACAATATGACGACTGCAGGTATGATCTTGGGGGAAGTCTCTTCCCATGGCCGCCCAAACATCCACAGTGGGAATTACACCTAGCGATCTGAGAGGATGCAGCTGAGGTGTTGCTGAAATCATGCCTTCATGACACTGCTCGTGTGAATGGGGCTGTTATCCTGGATTAGGTAAAATACCTCAGGCTCAGGGAACACCATGCCCTCACTGATGGTAGAAATGTCTCGTCCAGGATTTCTACATAGGCATACCTTGTAAATCTCCAGGGCCGGACATCCGTTAACTCCCCGATCCCATTGCATTGCTGTGCATCTACCCAAACAGCCTGGCAGTTTCTGACAGTTTGTGTAATGCAGCGTAAGGTGAAGCAGAACAAAAAAGTTGGCAGTTATGGATTGTTTAAACAAAATTAATAATAACTAAGAATATTATTCACATAAAGGATTGTGGCAACTAACCACCGACAACGCTCCCTTCTCAAACCCAATTGGTTTTCATTAGCTCATGATATTCTAACACTACAGTGCAACTTCCTATATATCTTTCATATTGCACATTGACTTAGTTTTGAATAACATTTACTTGATCTTCCTCCATCGTGCATGAAGGTCTCTGGTGGATGCAGTTGCATGGCGTTGCTAAATCCACGGAGACATAGTTGTCTTTGAAATATCTAGTTTTGATATTTCGGTTCGTGATGGTCCCTCAGAGTAAAGCGTAATTATGATGCTACAAATTATTTATCAGGTCTCCATTGCTAATATTGGCATGATACGAGGTCTTAGCCATCAACGCCGAAACACTATTCGAACACATTATGAAGCTACATCTGTTCCAGCTTTGAACACAACCTTTCCGGTCGTTTCGGTTTCATCTACTTCCGAATAAAATTACTGTTTTTAGCGAGTGTACATATATACATATATGCACATATGCATACAGAAGTACTATTAAATTAACCAGTTTATAATGGTGCAGTGAATACTAAAATATCAACGCACTAATTAGCAAGCTGAGTAGCTGTACAATTGTCAACAGACCCATTGGCTTGCTCGTCTTACCCAGCGCTAACGTCATGAGCGCTGCCCCGAATTTCTTGGACGGGCTCCTCGGTCCGTCCCCCATCGCCATAGCTCAAGGCAAGACACCTGGGTTTGTACTTTTGAATTATTTGTTTGGGATTAAAGTGATGCATTATATTCAACTAATGTATTGTTTAGGCAGGATGTTCGTTTTTGTTATCTTTCTGTATTTTTTGTGTTTCGTATTTAATGGTGACAGAAAAATAAAGATTAATTGTAGATGCTAAATAAGTTAACGTACTTTGCAACCTCATGCTTTGTTGTAATTAATGATTAATAATACCTGAAAATGAAGTATGATGGAACATTTGTTAACGAACGATTACTTTCATCAATATGTTTATTATAGGAAAACATTGCAATACAATTAAGGGAAGTTATACTAAAGCCATATTATTTTAACAAGGACCAAATGTAGTTGGAAGTAGTGGCAATGTTGGGTAATAAAACCTGTATGAAATGATAGAACGATGACACGCCACTCCAATGCATGCCCCCACTTTTCCAGACCTAGGCCTACATCTCTACTATCGCTACATAACAACCCATCAGTTAATTCATCCATGATAGCAACAAACGAGAACGGGCTCAAGGCTGACCCATGGTGTAATCCACTTTAAGCCATTCTGTGGTACCCACTGCACTTCTCACTGCTGTCATACATTTATCATAGATATCTTGTACCACTCGTACATACACTTCTGGTATCGATGACTCGCATGAAGTGCCACAGTTCCTCTCTTGGTACTCTATCATATGCCTTCTCCAGATCGATGAACACGCAATCCAGTTGCCTTAGCCCCTCTCTCTACTTTTTCATCAACGATCGCGGTGCAAAGATGACATCTATGGTGCTTTTCCTTGGTATAAAACCAAGCTGTTCATCACAAATTCTGCAGCAACTCCTTAGCCTTGTGTCTATCACCCTTTCCCACAACTTCACTGTATGACTTATTAGTTTGATGTCCCGTAGTTTCCACAATCCTGCGCATTTCCTTTGTTCTTGCAAATGGGTATCAATGTGAAAAAATACAAGGAAATACGAACATGTGCAAACAAACGCACGAGCCCACGAGAGACACCACACTTCCCTCACTCCCCTCTCCTCCTGTGTCATCCCCTTCCCCTGTTTCCTCCCTCGTTTTGTCTGACCTTTCCCGCACACAAAGTAAACAAGTTACTGGTACATTATTGCATTATTGCTCTCGAATTAACATTGTAGTCGCACTATCGCTTACTGACACAACATCGTACCTCTCACACTGAGGTCCGTGACGCCTCCACTCCAGTAATTGTTTCGAAGCCTGAGGATGATCTTCCCTCAGCACGCGCGTGCACGCACGCACGCGGCTCATACCGTACTCCCACATTTTTTACATGGACCCCAGCATTAAATAATTTGGTCAATACAGTTCTTGAGATCACCTTTTTTGCCCCTCTGCGGACTGTAAGGTGCCGGTGAGCGTGCCATCTACGGTTGGCAAGGCATTGATTTCAGATGGAGTATGCGTCCATGCGTTGGTCGCCCTACCCGCGCCACGAGGCAAAGGATGGTCATTTTATGTTACGTGTTGTCAACATCAACTAGACCCCTGTTCACCTCGAGCGTGCCACGGGAGCGCCTGACTGCGGGGTCAGCGTCTCCCGTTAGCTGAGCTCGACCTTCCTGTTGTTGCACATGCTCTTGACCCGTCGACATCTGCAGCCCCGGATTTTTTTTGCATACATTGTCGTTTGTTTCTCTCCTTGCAGAGATTGAGGCTTGTATCTCTGCATTGCGTTATTTTCTGGTTTCCCACTACTATTGCCGATTGCTGACTATCCCACGAGACCATTTAACGAAATCAACATAACGCAAAAATCACAAGAACGCCCAGATAGAGCTCATGGTCGGCCCTGCACTCATCCTTCCACTAACACGCCAACTGGACTTCCGAATCTGCACATTGCGCTCCTGTGACCGCTTCCCTTGCTCACACACCACAGTCTATCCTACTCGATCCGCTAAACTCTCCCTCACTGTTACAAACATTTTTCTTCCTTCCATGAATGTTCGTATGTTATTCACGTGTCTGATATATAGTTTCATCTCTAATAATTTCCCTCATATTGCACAACTTATTGTATTTTGTGGTTTTATATATTTTACATTTGGTGATTTTCTTCTACTGCATCGTTGCATTAGTGCACCGACTACCCAGCATCACTGACGGCGCCGACAAGGTCAGCACCTATTTCATCATGTACTCGCATTTCTTGTCATTATGAAGCTATTACCTTTATTGTACTTACATATGCATTTTTATACATGTTTATTGCAGCCATACATCCTTTGTATTCACATATGTATTATATTGTGCTACTTTAGATTATATATTTACTCAGTCGTATTTTACCACATTTTGTATCCTCGCTATTTTGTTCATGCCACTGCAGTTATTATCATTATTATGTATATATATTTTAAGCTTAGTTTGTATTGTTTAGATAGCTGCGCCATATACATTCTCTGACACCTTGATAGGGCGGAGACGGTAGCGTGACTGAGCCTACACCACTAGCACACGCCATGTATATTACTTTATACACATATCTTATTGTAGTAACATTACTTCATACACACCAAACCCTCTATTAGACACAACGGATGCAACATCTACTGGCCTTCCACCTTGCGACATCGCTCTGCTTACACGAACACATTCTCGCTCTCCTGTAATTTTCCATGTAGGCCTGCGAGAGATATCCAGACATCCAGAGAGAAAGAAAGAGACAGAGAGAGAGAGAGAGAGAGAGAGAGAGAGAGAGAGAGAGAGAGAGAGAGAGAGAGAGAACAAAAAGATCACTAACACAACTAAAACTCACTTAAAAGAACAATTACTCCGGAATCCCACATCTCACCAATTCCACATCCCAGGAGCGAACCAACGCACCTGTTTTTCAACCGCTGCCCTCCCCCTCCCCCTCCGCTCCGCCCCGCACCCCTATCCCCGTCCCTCCCCATGTCGCCGCGTTGACTGCTCGTGCGTTTCATCCCTTATTCTTGTTCCTTAACCTCCTGATCTGCCACTATGCACAGTTTGCTAGACCCTCGCCGCTACCAAAGATCTCTGCATCTCGCCAGACATATCTCGATCTGTACAAGACCGCTTATCGGCCTCGTTACACACACAGGCCATTTTCTTACGACAACTGTTACTCTATACCTCGAACCTTCTCCTTCCCCCCCCAAAAAAAAGTCAGAATAGTAACTGAAACTAACCATTCTCTCCCAGGAAGCTGCCATAGTAATTTTCGGCCTTGATGAAATACGGCAACACAGACCGGTAGTCCCAGCCCGCGTTCCCGAGGGAGGCCCAGTGGTCGAAGTCGCGCCGGTTTCCTCGCACGTACATCAGGCCATTGATGGACGAGGAACCGCCGACCACGCGTCCTTGGGTGAGGCGCGCCATCTGTGTACAGAGGGCGTTAGTTTTTGGTATGCATGGCATGGGATGGAGAGTTGAGGACTTCAGATGTATAATTGTACATATATACATACGTATGTGGGTATATGTGTGTTTATGTGTGGGCGTGTGTGCCTGCGTGCGTAACGCTGAAAAAAGGAAAGAAAAAGCGACGCCTGACCCTCACCCGATTCTCAAAGTTCTTCAGCCCGTGCTTCTGAGGCGTGGAGTTGTAGTCCCAGTCTAGGTCATGGCCGGGGAGGAAGAAGAACGGCACGAACGCCGGCAGGAAAGTTTCCGCAGCAGGAGGACCGCCCGCCTCCACCACCAGCACGCGCCAACCCTCAACCTCGGATAATCTGGAGGCCATGACACTTCCGCCACTCCCGGCGCCGACTGCAATGGCGGGAAAGGCGGCCATTTTGGATTTCGTCATCATCGAGAAACTTACGACAGGGGGGGTGAAAATAATAAGATAAAGAAGGAATTATGTACAAAAAAGCAAAGTGAGGAAGAGAGAAAAAAAAGATAGACGGCATAGGGAAAGGAAGCCATTTTTAGTAATCATCGCGAAACTCCAAGAAGGGAGAAGGAAAACCCAGATAAAAGAAGAGGAAAATAACAATGCAAAAAGAGAAAGAAAGAATATAAAGTAAGCACGAAAATTGATGCAATATTATCTCCTAACTTATTATAGACAAAAGGATGTACCTGTTTTACATGGAGGTGAAGATTCACTTGAAGAGACTGGTGGTACAAAAGTAAAACACATTCGAATAACCAGCATCGTATTTCAAAATAATCATCATTCATTAATATACCAAACAGTTACCGTCCACCAAACCTGTCAACCTGACAAGTATATCTTTACCTCGATAAAAAAGAAAAGAAAAAACAAATGGAACAAAAACCATAACTAGTCTTGAATATCGCATCACTTACCGACGATAAAATCATAGCTCGATAAAACGATAATGGTAATAATAATAATAGGAAAAGAAGAATGGAAATAAACATGTATACTGTATCACTTACCGACAAGAAAACCAAACTTGATTATGAACAATAAAAACAAGAATGAAAAAACGCATATCGCCTCACCGACAATGAAGTCATAGCTCGATAAAATTATGATAATAATAAAAATAATGATAATAATAATAATAATGATAATAACAAGAATTTAAAAAAGCGCATATGACTTACCGACAATGGCCATAGCTCAATAAAATCATAATGATAATTATTATTATTATTATCATTATCTGTTACGTAGTTTTCGTTCATTAACATTGACATCGGATGTTGCAGAACAGGGCGCATAACAGAACCCAATCTAAGTTCATATAATTTGGTGTCAAGCGTTATATAATTTATAAATATCCTTTTGTTTCTTTTAATTCTATGTCCACAGTCCACTCGGATGTACATATGTTCTTATGTGTTACTACTACTGCAATCACTTATTTAGTGTTAATTGCATTACTTCGTGCTTGTTCTATCTTAGCTCTGTTATTCATTAAGATAATCAAATCATTAATTTATATGCTAGCTCCTCTGTTCTAACCTTGTTTTATTTGCTAATTAACAAGCACTCATCAATATGCCCGGCTTGTATGTTATCCGTGTTATAATCATCTTTATTATAGATGATTATTATTTCCTTTTAGCTTTCATTTTTTATAGCACTGCTACGTATGCAAATGTAGGTAGTGTAAAGCCAATTTATAATCAATTTGTATTTACACCAATCACCGGATAACAAAAATGTACGAAAATCACCTCATCCGTAAACTTATATAACTCAAATAACACCATGAATTGATATTCATATTGATATAAACATGACAAATAAGGTCAACTTACAAACATAAGAGGTAAATTATCTTAACCACAACCCGGCTCCTCCGACCGCCGACCAGCCATAGTCCCCCCCCCCCTCCACAAGTCCGTCCAAGGTCGTTCTCCTCCTCCCCCGTCCTTACTCCCCATGCAACCCGTTCTGAGTCGACCAGACCGAAACCCGAACCCGAACGAATCCCCATGTCTCGTCCATGTGTTCCGAGTCCCGTTAGTTCGTCGCAATCGGAGTTAAGCGATTGCGACGAACGAAGTTAAGCGGTGTCAGGTTATGCAATTAGTTGACGGTCATACGCAGGTCGATGGTCGATCGGTAGCCATGTAATAATTATAAAAACGAGAATTAAAAGGCGTATCGCCTCACTTACCGACAATGAAGTCGTAGTCCGCGTGCAGTTGTCCGCTCAGAGCATAGTTCCCCCTTTCCCCGGCCTCCCGCACCACGAACAGCAGGATCAGGCGGAGGAGAGGCAAGGTGACCGCAGTCAGGAACCTCACGACCGAATTCCCTATGAAACTGATCATTCTGCTCCTGTAAGGGAATTGAAAAGGGTACTTGATATGCGTATGTGATATTTTGTTTACTTGTTAATCGTATGTTTGTCTGTTTATTTGATTGTTTTCCAACGCGTTTCATTGTCTTTCGGTCTATCTGTCTAATTTTTGGTGTCTTTCCGTCTATCTATCTCTTCTGACTTTCCATCTGTCTATCTACTTGTCTTTTATCTCGTTATATGACTATTCATCTGTCTTTTTATTTATCTATTCTATCCATCTAGATCGTTGCTGCGAATTCCAAAAACTTATAGAAAGGGATAAAGGTTTTAGGCTTTGATATCTGGTTCATGAAAACTGCTCAGCTTTGATTAGTATTTTATCAAATATAGACTATTTTTCAATGTTTCCAATTACATTAAACTTTTATGAATCACTATATTGAAATTTATAATTGTGGAGATGTTTTGGTAAAACAGATATATAGACAGATAGTTGGACAAACGCATGTAGGTAGATATATATATTTCATTTTCGTGTTTTGCGTGTTCATGTTTTTATACTTTCTACTCCTATTTCCTGATTCTTGTTTTTATTTCTCAAGAACTAACCAACCTTTTATGACTTAAAAAAATAAGGACACAAAAACATGTAAGAACCCAAACGGACGGGTTAGGAAGCAAAAATGGACCTTTTTTTCTTGAAATCATTATGTCATATTTCCCTTCGACGGTCAGTGAGGTGAAGCAGGTGATAAAAAACAGCAGTCAAATTTCAAGGTTATCTGTCTATAGTATGAATATCCTATG